CGATTTCCCTCTATTTTACACGGAGAGGCCTGATCAAGACTGCAGTAGACCTAATAGGTCCCCTCACAATACACAAACAGATTACCAGTGAAGAGGCAGCACAATCACATGCAGGTAGAGCGCCCGGTGCCAGCCTTCATGAAAATTTTATGGATTCACCTTATCGTCGCTCAAGCTGGTCAATTCTATGAGATACAAAGACGAACAGTGAGTTTAGGGGCCATTCTACTTAGCACCAAAGAATTCGCAACATCTCCCTCTTTGGCTCTCCCTTGAAAACACAGCTCCTGAAACTACCAAGTCGCCACCAAGTTGATTGCATTCTGACATTCGTCACAATCTCTCGCTTTGAAATAGCATGCTCAATTCCAAAGATGGGGTGACTCCGGACGCTTCATTGTCTCGGCTACCTCGTCTCCGGGGACGGACCCGGATCTCTCTGGCGGCCGCCGATCGATACAAGTTATGCGGCTCCCGAAACTCTCAACAACACATGCTTCTGCATATATGCTTCACACATCGGAACGTCGCTGTGCTGACAGCAATGTGTCCCAGAAAGTGGCATGCGTCATATGACAAGCAACAACTCACAAACGGGGGTCCAATGAACAGCAATAGTGATAGTAACAATACGGACAAGGGATGTCTTCCAAGGCTCAGCCGCGTATTTTTCAAAAACGGATTATTTGCATTTGCCGGACGTCTTTAGTGAAGAGAGCACAAAATCATGTTTCATTTCGCTGAACAGTTTTACCACTGCCAAAAAAGAACTGCAAGAACTGCCAATGGTTCGATCCCACGTGGCGACAAAATTTTGCGATTGGGTTTTCGCCTACGGGTTGGTGCCGAATGCTGGTAAATGTCAAAATCAGATGTCATTTTCATGGCTAGGACCATATTGAGGCCAAAAGTAGCCGCCAGTCTTGAATGCAAAACATTGTCCCCGCGCGGGATCGCACCATTGATTGAGAGTAACATTTTTGGCAATATTAAAACCACTCAGCGAAATGAAACATGGTTTTGTATTCCATGCATGCGTCGCTACAATGTGCAGGGAACCGTTTCGAAAAGACGCAGCTTGCCCTGAAAGACCCTCCCTGTGAGGGCTTTTTGAGGCTGAGTCAATGTCGACTGTTGAACCGTTTCACTGAATTTTCAGAAATAGCAGAAATTTCTAAGCACTATTCATCCACTTTATCCTTCACTCCTGGAAAACTGAGCCGGATTTGTATAGAAAGTTGTCTATGACTGAGGATTTGTCCTGAAGTTGTTTCCAAGGGTAGTTTTGACCCGTAGAACCCATTTGACAAATATCACACTCGCTCAGAGCGAAAACGCCTGGCACACCATGCCACAGGTGCCAGCGCCAGAGGTCCAGAACACCTAGGAACCCCTCTTTGTTGGAACCTTGCCATTAGAGGTTGCTGGACCCGTAGAACATGAGTATCACATTTAATTCGTTGCGAGTGAGCTTGCAGCCTGGCCGACGGGAAATTTATGTGGTAGCGCCGGCGTCTGTGGAGCGGGTGCTGGTCCTCGCGCTAAACCGGTGTGGTATTCGTGTGCTTACAATATCCTCGGTGGCAACTTCCTGGCCTAATCCATAGCCATGGACGAATGTCAATAAAAATCCAATTTGGTTCTTGAGGGGTGGGGCAGTAAATGGTAAATAGTGAATACTATCAGCGAAATTTTGCCAAGGGGAGCAACCATCCACAGCGGAAGCAAATTTGTCCTACAGGTAATTACTGCAAAAGAGCAGATACTTCGATGCAACAATGACTCCGTTCCTTCCAAAATTTCGCTAGTGCTCGATGCTCGCTGAGTCTTTTGAGAACGACGAAGTTGTAGAAAATATGGGTAAAAATTCAATTCTACTATTGAAAAAAACCCGCTCGAACATGGTGAGGAAGTATTTTGAACTCTTGTGTTAGTTTTTGCCTTTTAACGCAACAGGAGAGCAGGAGGCTTATAAACTGCATCTATGCACACCACACTTATCTGCGCACGCCCACCTTTGCGACTGTGTTAGTGTCTGGGCCTCTTTCGCCTCATATGCTCTATCTACTCGTACTTGTTTTCTAGCTCGCCTCGGCACATGATCGTCTAGACTGTCCTCTATGATCGTCAGTAGCCAAGAAGGAAGTATTTTTCGGCATTTTCGGCAGTGTTCTTCTTTTTTATTCACTGGCGACCAATTATAACAAGCTTTTGGTATAGCCGATTGCCTTCAATTATGCAGAGATATCGAGAAACTTCCCAGACCAAAAAAGAGATAGACTTCCCGGGTAGTATGACTTGCACATAACCCGTCTTTATGTTTGAACGAGCTAACCGCTAAGAAAGAAACCGTTAGGGTGAGCTATTCCGATAGGAGATACAAAAGGACAGCAACTTTTATTAGGCCGACGTTTCGGTGCTTTCACCTTCTTCAGAGCCTGGAAAAGACGAAAGCCATTTAGGAAACTACCCGTCCAAACACTATTTCAACCTACAAGAATCATTCAACAGGGTGTAAACTACTAAGCGATGTCATGGAGGAAGATTAGTACGGAGATGGTCTGCACTTCTCTGGTCACTTAAAAGGAGGGGTAAAGGGAACTATCGCCCTCCCTTGACCGCTGCGACCGCTGCCATTCTTATCAATTGCAGAATGCGTGGCGTTGCGCCTATCGCGTATGATGTGCTCTCTCGCGTTTCCCCTCCTCGCACTGCTTGTCTCTCTGTCATACCATGGTCGACCTTACGAGAATTATTTTTAGTGTTTCCTATGGTGATTTTTCTAGGGGCGGAAGTGGTGTAGTGGCAAGTGGCACGCTTACCACGCGAGCGGTCCGGGGATCAAATCCTGGGTCGTGAGTCGCCCGGGCCAACCAAGCCTTCCATCCCTCCGGGGTCGGTTAATTGGTACCAGACTTGTCTGGGAGGATAAAAACACTGACTTGTACATCGGCTGGCCCCCGCAAGTCATTGTATAGGCCACATCGCATTCAAACGCCACTACGAATGTACAAAT